AAAAAAAAAAAAAAAAAAAAAAAAAAAAAAAAAAAAAAAAAAAAAAAAAAAAAAAAAAAAAAAAAAAAAAAAAAAAAAAAAAAAAAAAAAAAAAAACAAACAAACAAACAAAACAAAACAAAAGGTAGTATTATAGGATTCCCCCCCACCCCCCATTCTACCAAATGAAAACAAACGAAAAAACCAGTTATAAGGAACCGGGATGGAGAAAATGTAACATCATTGTGACAAAACCCGTTAAAGAGTTTTCGCGGAAAAGGCATAGACTTAAATAAAACTCTTTGACAACATAGTTTATCATGCTATATCTTAGTGTAAATTGTCTAAATTTTTGCTTCTATAGTCATACCTCACTCATTATAAATTGAGAAGATCTCTCGTAACAATCATGGATAGTACATCCCTTTTATAAATTTCAAACATTAATGAAATTCTCTTATAAAAAAAATGTAGCCTAATTAAAAAAGGAGCTAATTATTAATAATGTTCAACCAAGTCTACGTTAGCTCTAAGTTCATAACCCGAACAGAGGCAAAAGAAATTGTTTCTATTCTTGAAAAAGAAACCTTGGTCATCTCCTTGCTAAACTCTCGCATTGTAGTTTCCATTTCTGGGGCCTTCATCAGATTATTAACAAGCTTCATAACTTCAGCACTCTTGGAAAGATGCCCAACTGTTCTCGCAATGGCTGCAAAATTGGCAGGCTTTCAAACAAAGGTATCTAGAAACGCAGAACTTTGATCATATGTGAAACTCTTAGAGAAAAAATAAATTGCACCTTAACATACTTGAGAAAATAATAATGGTAATGGATCAATGTTCATATTATGTTGCATTGCATTTCAATAAAAAAAGCACAACACGAGAATCCCTTCCGCTTCACCTTCCCTCCCTATACTTTTAAAGTTAATACCACCTAAAGCTTTGTAATTTGTACGGATATATAAGATACTGATATGAACCAAGAGACATAAATCATACAATATACTACAATGGAGATGTGAAGAAAATGCTGTTGAAATTATCAAAAGACATTTCAATTCATGCCACATTGAAGAAGAATGAAGATCCATTGTTATAAATTTTGGGTGGATTACAATTTAGAGTAATTTAGAGTTATTGTATTTCATTAATATATTTTAAGACTTTTTACTAATTTTAAGGTTACATTTACATAGTAGCTAATTATGGTCATAAAGTATACATAGTGCTAATTATGGTCATAAAGCATACATAGTGGCTAATTATGGTTGTAAAATATGAATGTTGCAAACTCTTGAAATGCCTAATGGAAGGTCAAGGGTTTCATTTTGAGGCTATATAAAGCCATGTATGTTAACTTTGTAAGGGAAACTTGGAAAATGTAGTAAAATGAACATTTGTGCTTTCCTTTAGCCAATGGCTAAATTTCTTTGCAATTCTATGTAGTTTAGGTTGCATGTAGAATCATTCAAGCTTGACATGATCAATCTTGCTTGTGGAGTGCTTCGAATCTCAAAACAAGTGTTCTTACCTTGAGATATTTGATCAACAAGAATCATTCAAGCAGACATGATCGATCTTGCTTGTGGAGTGATTTGAATCTCAAACAAGTGTTCTTACTTTGAGATATTCGATCAACAAGGTAATCCGAATCTTACTCCCCTTGTAGTGATTTCCTTATTATATATATATTTATTGTTTACAACAAACTTTAGCATTAGAGCTAGTCATAATCATCAAACATCTACCCTGACTCAACAATGTAAGAAAATCTCCATATTTAATTAGGTTGTTGAAGCAGATAAGACAACAAAGAGACCTAAAAGTTTCTGCAAGTTTTAGAATATGAAAAACATCATACCAATACTTTCGCCAAGGTGCATGGATATCGAATTAACCTGTGCCTTATTTTCGTGAAGACGGTTCACAGTTTTTTTAGACCTAACAATTTCTTTGGCCAGTGCCTGAAACACAAATACAGGGAAATCTTAAACAAGAGATAGTACATAATTCCATGCAGAAACAATTAGGGATTAGGTCCAGTGTACTAAATTATAGATCATTTTTCCCCTAATCCACTGAGAATATAGATAATATCACACAAATAAGTGCCAGTGTCCATATTCAAATGAACCCTAATGCTAGCAATTAAATAGGAACTCTCAATATCAAACTGAAACCAGCCATCTTAGGCAAAGTTCTCACTGGAACAAAATGTAATTCAGCAATGCAAATGATGAATGAAAGAATCTTCCTCCCCCTACTCCCCGAAGTGGATTAGGGAAAATTCCCCCTGGTTAGAATTTGTTTCTTTATTATGAAACTCCTAATCAGAAAGTTCAACAAAAAGAAAGCTCTTAACATACCTTTGCAGAGACCATATCATTCCTCTTTGCAGCATCCTTAATGGCTTTCTGCACATTTTTCTCTTCTCTCTCTATATCTGGCCAAAACCAATCGAGAAAGAACAAATAAAATCAAATGAAAAACACATACATACTTAAAGAATCCCTAAAGGTAGAAGATGAATCATTGGATGGTTACAGTTTCAAGGCTGTAACACACAAATGCATAAAAGATAACACGAATCAAAAGGAAATTGAAAATACCAAAATACGATCCGTTACCTCGAATTTGGCGTTCAAAGTTGCGGCACTCTTGTCGGAGCCTACGCTGCCAATCCCTCAGCTGCTGCTGCGGATTTGGTTTTGGCTTTAAGACGTTCATCATTTTCTCCATTTCTCTCCTTTTCACTACCAGAAATTTTGAAAACCAAGGAATTACAAACTTCCTCAAGATCAGTAGAATCGAAGTGAATAGAGCAGCCTCGAGAATCTTAGGATCAAAATCTGGAAAATGGAAATTAATCAGTCAAGATATAGTCGGGGATTGACGATTCCAAAATTTTCTTCCTCTATGTGTGATTATCCGACAATATGAAAGAATCTACAGGCAGACGACATGTCGTCTAATAAACTTATTTCAAAAAAATCATAGAAAATATGTTTTATGTGTATTTAATAAATTAAAAACATATATTAGTTAAGGAATATTTTATGAAACTTCATATTTTATATATATATATATATATATATATATATATAGATAATAATAAACAAAAAAAAAATTGAATTTTTGTTAAAATTTATGAATTTTGGATATTTTTACAAGTTTTTTTATATTAAAATTGGTGGGTTAATTACAATAATTGTTAAAATGCAACAAATATGGGTCGAATGCCTTTGGAGTAAGGCCTTTTAGTGATTTGACGCGGTCTTGTTACGAAATAGGCAAGGGTTGGTTCTCCTTAAGGTATACATTGGACATTGGCTTACAAACGAATCCCCGGATAAATAAAGGGAGGATATAAAGGATTTAAACTTGACTTGAAAATGAACCAACATTCAAATTATTCTTTGATTTCGGTTCAACAAAGGTTTCCTAAGCTGGATGAGAAGAAACTCTCAGGTTCAGTTGTTCGGGTGGAAGTGTGTGACTCACTTATTGGGGTAGAGGTAGTGGTTTTTCTATAGTTGTGATGGGACCATGCATTTACTTATGAGATTTGTTAAATAGGCTTGTCTTAGTTGTCTACTATAAGACAGCTAGTTTTGGGGCTTTTGACATACAAAAGTCGATCCAACTTGGTTTCACTCCTTGCTCACGGAGCAACATACCATGAAAAAAGTTCATCTTCCATTAGGGCCCACTTTCATTATCAAGAGTGGGGCAAAACGATATAGCTACAATCTTCCCAGGGCAGTCTCGACAAGATAAGAATTCCATTTTTTAGTATACTTTGTTTGGTTATCAAGCCTCTTGATGAAATCGAATAAAATAGATGAATCATATCTGATAAGAATGTTTTCGTCAACGTATAAAAGAAGGATGAGGCAACAATCATGACGTCAACAAACAAAATCTCAGAATCTCCACAAGTCCACTATAGTCGAAACCCTTTATCCTAAATCAAGCAGCGAGAAACAAACTAAATTTCTTCGAGCAAGGCTCCCTTCTTAGCTTTTGGTGTCTGATTAGCTATCGCGAAGTTAGGTGGTGCTATTATGGCAGGAGAAGGGTTGATTTTACTTCAAATGCTTTTTGTGATAGGTCTTTTTATTACCAATATAGACCTTACTAACTAGCCTCGTTCTATATCTAGGTCTCGATCTATATCACTAAGGTCAGTATATGAATCTTCCTGCCTCTTTTATCTCATGCCTTGGATCTCTAATATAAATTAATCCTGATACTTAAATCTACTTCTCAAGAGCGATAACAACCTGAGTACATTTCTTTCCTGGAAAGCAAAAAGGGGATTCATTCTTACCAACCAGAAGCAAGCATAGCGTCGACATAGGACTCCACATCTGTATTAGAAGCATAAAAAGGATTCATTGGCACCCCTCCTCTAAATTCAAATATATATATAGAGAGAGAAAGAGAGGTTTTTACTATGCCACCAAAATTGTGTAGTTAGAGTTATCCCTTTATACTCGAGTGTTGCGACTGTTGCTCAAGCACACAAGGCTCGATCTGGAATCATATGATTCATTATCTTATGGAAAGGAATTACAACTGGCCTCCACTAAAACCCACCACTCCTTATACCGCACCGTGCATGTAGAAAGAAAAAGACTCTATTCCAAAAAAAAAAAAAAAAAAAAGTTTATACTCAGTTCAATTCCTTCGGTATTTCTACACCAACTATTTGAAATGTTAGGCAAACAAAGCGAACCTAGTGACTAAGACTACCTTTTTCTGATCATCATGGCTTCTTTTTCCCCTTTATCCCGCCCTCAAAACTCAAGTAACCTCACTCTGATCTAATGACACTACTATCTATATATATATATATATGGTTAACCTTTAGTCCAAGTTTACCCTTTTGAATGGTTTGTTTTTTATATAGTTAAGGTCAAACGAGATCAACATGATTACTTTTTGGACAATTAAATATTTTTAGTACATTTAGGATGAAACTTAAGTTTGTTTGGTTAGGCGATTAGACTCGATAACTAAATGTATAGAATGATGAAGGTGAAATTGGAGCAAGTTAAGGTGAGCTTAAGAGCCGATCAACTAAATAAAGCTTAGAAACATCGACTTAAGTCAAAACGGTAAGTCGGCTTACTATTGAAATACGTACGTGCTAAATTGGATGAAATTGATTGATGCATGAATAACGCATATCCTAAGCTCTATTAACGTAGTATTTATGTTATGATATTCTAGTAAAGTTCACGATGTTTCGTTAGGCTGCTTTGTAACACTAAGTCTCAATATTAAATTTCAATATGAAGTAGGAGAAAAAATTGCTTAGAAAATTCCGAGTAACCTAAAAAAATATAGATAAAATCGTAAAAAAAAAAAAAGGTAAAACGGTGTTTCTATGTCTGTTACTATTTAAGAGTAAGGTATTTACCCTAATGCAAACTTAAATGGGGAGGGAAGAAATAGGAAAAATGTATGAAAATCATCTTCAATGTTTGGAATTGGCATGTCTGGAGCGTTCTTGGTCGACCATCTTTCATGAAAGTTGCTCGGAAGACGTGCATACTTCACTAAAGTAAGTAGCCGTTCAAACTTTCTCAAATAATCTTTGTAGGGATGGTTACCGTATGTTTGCACCTTAGTTGATTATAATATGCATGATTAGTGAAGGAGAATGCATTCTATGTTATGGAAAATTATGAAAATGCTCCTAAGATAAGATTTCTATGATGCACGTTATTTTAAGGATTTCTACTGCACTAGAAAGGAGGATGAAATATTGTGATTTGTGCTTGAGTGATTAATGAATATTATCTCCCCGTTGAGCTTACATGAATTTTTGTAGTATATTTCGTGCTTTAGGTACTTGATAGAATTATCTCCCTAACCAAGCATGCATATACCTTCATAGTTACTTACATTGAGTTAAGATTAGGGCTCTAAAGTTAAGTTGGTTAAAGATGATCTAGGCCAAGACCCCTCTAGTGGACCAAACACTTTAGGATAGTAAGCAACGATTAGGGATTTAGACCATAGTGCTCCTAAACTAAGAAAACTCAAGGAGTTAGTATAGAGGGTCTTGGAGTAGAGGGTTCGCATTTTAAGCCGTCTAGGCACCCTAGGAACCTAATAAAGCTCCACAACTCCTAAGAATGACTAAGGTAGCTCTTTAGGCCGCTAGCATTATGAACCGTGTCATCAAAATCTTCATGACCCTTCACTCCGATACTTAGTGTTATTAGAAATTTAAGTCGGATCTAATTATATCCCCTGCCAAGTGGTAGGCTCAAGGGAGCAGTACTATCGAGCTAAGCCAAAGCCTTATAGTGCATTGAGATGACTATGTGTCATCATCTTGTAGAAATGGCTGAGAGTCCCTTGAACAGGGCCTTTGTGCTACAAACCCATCTTGGGCCTTTGTGCTATAAACCCATCCTGAGACAGACGGCCGACACACAAGGATTGGTCCCCCATACTCAGAGTGACTCTATGGCCTTGTGGAAGTGTCCACCCAGTCTTCTATTCAGACCAATATGTCATATTGTCCTACTAAATTTTATTACGGTAGCGCATCATTCCAGATTTTATTAAGGTAGCGCATGATTCCAGGATATTGGTGATTCATTACCTAGGTAAAACAAGCCAAATGAGTCCAAGTACAGAAACGTTGAGTAACTTACATAGACTGCTACAATGATTAGGCCTGAACTTTCTAGGATCCTAAGAAAATCTTGTGATGATCTACTAAGATAAGGATGCAATAAGAGCCTACAAGTAAGTTGTTTACTGAGATACTCACCTCATTCTTCATTTTTTTTAGGTGATTGCTGACCCTAGTCGAAGTAGGGAGTGCTCGTGAGCTGCACAAGGGGTGATCCTAGGACATTAGTCTCCAATATTGACTTCCAAATTTCACTACCCAAATGGGAAAAAAAAGTGAGAAATGGGTAGAATTAGATTTCCCTTTGGCAAGTGCAGGCTGCCATGAATGAACACATGTGAGTATCAAAGGGTGCAAAAACAGATAGGCAGTGGCATGTGCTGCTAGTGGACCATGCCCTCTGGACTTAGCCACCAGATACCCCGACAATATTGCTCATCATTCACACCCATATTATATTCTTAGCTTTAATGTGTGTGAAAGCTGGAAAGTTGAAGCCAAAAGCTTAGAATTTTTAATTAACAAGTTAGGAGATGGCTAATTAGTCAATAAGTAGGTGCCACTAGAATTTTGACTTTTTCATGATTTTTTCCTTGTTTCATAACAATGTTAAGAGAAGAATTATGTTTTGATTGACATCGGGATTATGATTTAGGACTAATGAACTATTCGTTTTGATGTTTCGATCTTTTATTTTTGAGAGAGTTAAGAAACCCAAATATTTTTTTTTTAGTTTAATAATTTAGACGAGAGATTTGAAAGTTTGATCTATAGAATTGTTTTAACTGAATTAGATTCAGATTGTTTAGTATTGAAACCGTTTAATTAAGGTTAACTTCCTTATGACATTACAACTATTTAATTTTCGATTCCTTAACACTTAAAAAGTCAATCCGAACATATTCTTAATTTTCGGCTAACAAATTTGAGGTAATTTTGTATTGGGTTTTCTTTGTTGTGCATCGACGAGTTTACGGGTACGAAAGGGAAGAAGTATGATGCATTTGTGGTCCTGTTTTTAGTTCACGAGAGGACCAATTAAGCCAAAGACAATTTAGGTTCACGAGTGTTCCCTGTTTTTGCCTTGCAAACATAGAAACAAGCTTTAGGGACAGCTTTTTCTTTTTCAATTTGTTTCGAGTTCATAATCCCTTTAGCTTAAAGTCTTTGACTTCTCGATCCTTAATCTGTTATACTTGAATAAAAGAGGGGTATATGAATGAACCGAATATCATATCCGAATGAAAGCGATCCAGAATATAGGATGACTAAAAAAGATTTA